ATCTTAAAAACAAAAAAATCACACCAAGTCTCAAGTCTGACCACAGATTCAAAACCCAAAGAAACCCAACCAGAATTAACGGTTTCAGATATGAATGGTAACAGATGGTAAAAATTGGTTCTGATTCAATTTACAAATCCCAAGAAAACATCAACTAGTCAAATCCCAACATAGAAATCCCAAAAATCACACCAAGTCTCAAGTATGCCCACAGATTCAAAACCCAAAGAAACCAACTAGGGTGAACGAATCCGGATATTTCGATTCGAAAACTCCTGGATATCCGAAGAGTTACAAGGATCCGCAGCCCTAACCCCCATCCGAAGATTTACGAGGATCCGGAGCCCAAACCCGAATCTTAAAAACCCAAAAAATCAAATAATACGGAACAGAGAAATCTTCAAAGGACTCACAAACTCAACAAGAGACTCAAATCACTTGGGATTTAAAAACCAAAAATGTTAAGAAACACGAAAACTGAACTTTGGAACTCAAACCTAACGATACGGGACATAAAAAATCTTCAAAGGACCCACAAACTCAACAGATCCCTACAAAAAATTTCTCCAAAAAAATTCTCACAAACCTAATGGCTGAACACTTAAAGCAGGCTGCCGACCACTCGTTACACCTCCAAAAGCAGCATTACGAAAGGCAACTTGTTGTTGCTGCTGCTGTTGTTGTACAGCATTTTGTTGTGCTCTCATAGCTGTTACTGATAAATTTGCAGCTTGAGAGGGTTGAGAAGAAGGTGGAGGCATTATATTCGTATTTGAAGGAGTTGTTGTTGTCAAAGCATTATTAGGTTCTACAACAGCAATTGGTGGAACAGCTTGGAGTTGATCAGCATTAGAAGATGCACGCCTTGTATTTTTGGAAGCTGAAGTTTGGACAGAAGTGTAGGGACGTTGAGGATACTAAAAAAATGTTTGATAACTAATGTAAGTTGCTTAAATTTTAAACAAGGAATAAATTACATCAGGCAAGGGATGGGTTAAAAAAATCCAAAAAAAAAACACCGCTTGAAGTTGATCAGCATTAGAAGGTCCTTGTCCGATGGATAACATACCAACCCGAAGAAAAAAGTTGGATTGGGTTTTGGGGCAGGTTCGGGCCGAGTTCGAGTTAAAAAATTCCGTGTTCCTTATCTCGAGTCAATTCTCCTCATATTATCTTAATACCTCGTAAACCCAAAATTTCTAAGGTAACAGCCCACTAACTTCCGACACCCTCTCGTTGACAAAATTAAGGGTTTGCCCAAAAAATTGACAAGGTTTCTAGTATTAAGGTCATCTTTCTTCCTAAAACCCCAAAAGAAACATTCGAACATACAAAAATACACTCCTTTGCCAACTGTTTCTACTCATAAAATCAACGGAGGTTTCCACTGATGAAAGTTTTACCTACCCCACTAAAAACCCCCAAAAAATTTTTTACACAAACCTGTCCAGTCGACCCCATTGATTGATTAAAAGGAAGATTATCTGCAGTAGAAGCAGTAACATTTCCCCCAACACCTGCAGTAGCAGAAGAAATGCTTCCTTCTTGATGATGTTGAACTCCTTGAACTTGTTGTTGTTGTTGTTGTTGTGCAGACTGCTGCTGTTGCTGCAATTGTAATTGTTGTTTTTTAGCTTCTTTTAATAACAAGTAAGTCCCAAAAATTTCATCAAATTTTTCACATTCCAAAGATTCATGGATTGCTTGTAAAGTATATCCAAAAACTTGTAATTTTAATATTCTTCTTTCATCCCTAACATCTTTTGTTGGTTCTGTATATGGTCTCAATTCTTCTTCTTCATAACCCATATTCATCCATTTATCACGCATTATTGTTTCTAATGTTCCACGTCTTGCAGGATTTAAAACGAGGAATTTTTTGACAAGATTTTCGCAATCTAAATGAAATAGAAAAGTTTGAAAATTTTCAAAAATATGACGAAATTTAAGGGCTTAAACACATTCAAAACGCCAAAGGCGCACCTCCTCCATTTTAGCTACCCTGAACTTGACAACACTCACATCAGGCTAGGGACACGCACACAAAACAACGCGCGGCCATAACAACGCAAAGCCATAACTAGCCGGAAATTTTCCGGCTAGTTATAAATTTTCCGGCCCTCTGGCTACGCCCTTGACGGAATTTAAAATCGAAGCTATGGCAAGAGTTTTATACTTAAAAAAGCGTATCCGGAGAGGATTTCAGGGGGCTATAATGAATATCCAGACTCCTAGAACGGTTAGGCATTCATGTGGTCGAAAAAAAGCAAAATAAAAAATAACTTCCATTAATCGTTTTTGACCATTTTGTAGTCTTAAGGAGAAATTAGAAATGAAGGCTTGAAAAGGAAAGGAGAAGGAAATGGAGGGGGTATAAAAATGAAGGCAACTAACCCGAGTACCGAGAGGTTTTAAAATACCAGGTTCCACTTAAAAATGATCTTAAGGAAATTTTATCTTATGAAATACATAAGAAAAATTCTTTTTAAAAATATTAAAAAAAACCTGTTGATAAATAGAAAGGAACACGATATTTGCCACGAAGAACCCGTTCTCTCAATTCCTACAAAAAAAAATTTACATTAAAACAAAAAAATTTAAGAAAAAACCTTGAGATTCTGCCCGTCAAAAGGAAGGCTACCAGAGACGAGAGTATAAAGAATTACTCCCAAACTCCATACATCAACCTCTGGACCATCATATTTTTTTCCTTGAAAGAGTTCTGGTGCAGCATAAGGTGGTGACCCGCAAAATGTGTCCAATTTATTTCCTTTTAAATTTTGATTAAAAACAGTGAAAAGGATGGTACTTGTGAGTTATCCCAAACCAGTTTTTGCGGACATATTTTGCAAACTCTTTTGTATACACAGAATGGTCAGTCTTCCTCCTTTCCTCAATTTCACCCTATTTCACGATGGCATTATTTAATGAGAGGCAATAAAGAAAGGATTATTTTTAAATATAAATGGCCGATTTTTAAATCATGTTTGCCTCTCATTGAATAATGCCATAGTGAAATTGAGTGAAATTGAGGAAAGGAGGAAGACTGACCATTCTGTGTATACAAAAGAGTCCGCAAAATATGTCCGCAAAAACTGGTTTGGAATAACTCACAAGTACCAAAAGGATATACATAAACCGAGTAATCAAAAATAGGCTGTCGGCTAGAACCCAAAAAAAGGGAGAATTTTCCGGTTCGATTTTGGATATCAAAAAATTTTAGTTTAGTTCTTAGTTTCGGTCCCAAATAAAAACGAATATTCTGGGCAAGAATAAAGGAAGAAACTGCTAAAAATCATCATCATTCCCAGTAACAAGCAATAAAATTTTTCTAGGAATAACATGGATTTTTGACAGTAAATGGCGCAGAACGGGCAAGATGATCACGTGTAGAGAATCTAGAGAGTCTGTATAAGAATTCCATATGTCGTATTCAATTGGGTTAAATTCAAATGGGATTCAAAAAAAAATTTAAAATCCATAAAATTACTCACCTGGAGAAAAAGTATTGCTAAATCCAAAATCGGCAATTTTGATATTCATAGCAGAATCCAACAATAAATTTTCCGCCTACAAAAAAAATTTTTTGAAAAATTTCAAGAAAAAATTTAGGAAAAATTTCGTCATATCTCTCGGAAACCAATTTGGACAAAAGATAAGTCATTCGACAGATCTCGCCAAACGACACCAAAATTAGCTTCGGGATTCTTTTGTCCGAATCGGTTTCCGGGAGGAACTTATGCAGTTTGGGTACAAACCCCATTTATTCGCAAGCTAACATAAAAATGGTCAAAGTAAACATATTGAGGTCGAAAAACGCTTGGGCATAATTCCTCGCATCGTGCGGTGTTAACCAGCACGCGGCTCGCAAGAGTCGAAAGCTGCTTTGTTTAGTACGCTGTAATATAGGTTTCTTGCTAGCAAACAGATAATCAGGTTGATTAGTCAATTCGCCTAAATGAGGGTGTATCTCGCAAATAAATGGTGTGTGTACCCAAACTGCATAAAGTTAATTCCGGGAGATATGACGGAATTTTACCAAAATTTTCAAAAAAAATCTGAAAAAAAACCTTCAGATCTCTATGTATCACATTTTTAGAATGTAAATATTGAACAGCTGAAACAATTTGTCTAAATTTTGCTCTAGCTTCTTTTTCTTTCATTCTTCCATGAGCTACCAAATAATCAAATAATTCACCACCACTAGCATATTCCATTACCAAATATAATGTTGTTTCATTTTCAATAACTTGATAAAGTTTTACAATATTTGGATGGTCTAATTGTTTCATTATTCGAACTTCTCGGAATAACTTGAATAAAAATTGAGTAAATTGATTTTAATTTAGTGAATGGAGATTATGTGGGCTAGAGAGAGCTCAAACTATGGTCTTGTAAACCTACTCCCAGTGTTGAATCGCCTGGAAAGCCTTGAAAGTCCAACCTCCTTGGACCTATTAGAGGGTCCAATCTCCTTAAACCATAGAGGGTCAAACCTTATTAAACCCATTAGAAAGTCCAACCTCTATGAACTTCTCGGAATAACTTTAAAAAATTGTGTAAATTAATTTTAGTTTCTTAAATAGAATTTGAGACTGGTATGACTAGGCTTGTCTTTCCCTGTACAAGAGTGATTAATGTTTTTATCCAACCTCCTACAAAAGTTAAATCCTATTATGCCTGGCTTTTCTTTTGACACGAGCCAGGCTTTCCCTGTACCCAGAGAGAGTCCAACGTCCTCGAAATGGAACTGGCTTATGCTAGACAGGGCCGACATGAACACGGCTTTCCAATATCCAGGACGAACTAGGGTCCATGCTTAACCTTTTTACTGAGTTGAATCCTAGTCTCCGGAGATGTGTTTCACCAAAGATGAGACGGCTATTCTACAAGAGCCATCGATCCCTAACTAAAAATGGCAAAATTTGACCATCTATTATTAACCCGTTCGAGGTGGAGTGGACGGTGAAAACACTCTCAAAAGTCAGGGGGTGTTTGCCCTAACTAACAAGAACCAAACAAAAAATTAAAACCTTTTGAAGGCTGCTCGGATTTAAGGCAGTTTTATCAATAATTTTAATAGCAACTTCAACACCTGTTGGAATGTGTTTAGCCAACTTGACCTAGAAAACAATTGCTTTTTTAATAAAAACAAAAAAATTAATAAACCTTTGCAAAATTGCCCTTTCCAATCGTTTTTAATAACTTGTATTTTCCAGTAGTATCATCAGCCCGTAGCCGTGACCTTTGGGTTCTAGACATTGAAGAATGCATATTAGCAGCTAAATTTGTTGGTAAAATTAGTAAAATTCAATTTCGACCCCCATATCCTTTTCTTATTAAAAATGGTCAGACTTGTGTTAAAATGAGTAAAACATTACCCTATGGCTAATAGAGAGCGAGATTTTCGAAAAAACCTTGATTCTTGATTTTTGTCAGGTACCTTGACCAGATCAAGGATCTTGATTCAAGGAAAAATAAAAAAAACGCTGAAAAATGCCTTAATCTGGACTCTGGATCTAAGAAAAATCAAGGTCTGGACCAGATCCAGCTCGCTCTAAAATGGCTATCAAGTACCCGCTCTGCGTTTTAGAACCAAAGATTAGGTACATTGCGTGTGCACCAAAACTCTTGATTAGTAGGGCTCCTATCCAGATAAAAAATATTTTTGAAATAGGCTAAACCTATTGAAAAAAGAGATCTGACCATTTTTAACTTACGGAAAGAAAAAGGGAAGAACCGAAGTTCAACTTTCCCCACAATTTAACAAAAAATCAAAAATAAAATACTTTCAGCCGCAGCACTAGAATGCCTATGATGATGACTGGATGTTGCTGATTGAGTAGTAACAGCAGATGATCCAACATTTGTAGGTTGTTGTTGTTGATGGTGTGAATGAGAAGAAGATTGTTGTTGCTTTTGTTGTACCATTGCACTAAGAAAATGAAAAAAAATAAAATTTCTCGTATACTTTTAATAAACAATCGAAAAAAAGAAGCTAATTAAACACAAAAAGTACATATCCCTTCTAACTCAATAAATTTAAGTTACGTAAACAAAGTTTGGGAACAAAAAACATATTTACAAAATAAATTGGGAGGGTTCAAAATCCTTTCTCGATATTTTAATTAAATAAATTTATACCGTAAATGTTCCAATAGAAGCCCTGGGCATCTATTTTTCAATGGTCCCATTAGGTGAGCTTCTGATAGAACACGGGCTTCTACTAAAACATGGGCTTCTATACGGGCATGGGCGTTTATTCTTCAATACCCCTAATTGAGTGGGCTTCTAATAGGGCATGGGCACCTATTGGAGCCGGGCTTCTATTAGAACTTTACGGTAAATAAAAAAAATAAAAAAGAAAAAAAACCACAAAAACAAAAAACCCCCAAAAATTTAGACAATCAATACAAAAAAAATTTTTATTTGGCGAAATGAAAAATGATGTGTTTTGGTGAAATGAAAAACTTCACTTTAAAAATGGAAAAAAAAAGATAATGGAAAAATGAGAGACCAAAAATAGAAAAAGAGAAAAAAAAGAAAACAGACAGACAATGAAAGAAAAAATTAAATAAAATGCCAATTAAGTGAAAATTTTGTAATTTTTAAAGTTTTAAATGAGTATTCGAACACTTGGAAGATTGAAAAAATGTATAGCAGGGATGAACGGATTGAGACAAAAAAGGTCGGGTCGCGTTTCGGATCGGGGGTTTTTAAAAATTTCCTTGGATCCGGTTCGGGCAACCCAGCCTCTATGTAGAGAGTATGATCGAAATTTTTGAAAGCCTTGATCTGGGCTTGTTCCTAGGTGGGCCGGATCCTGGGCCTGTATTCCAGGAAAACCCCGGGCCTTGGTCCAGACCCTGCTCGATCTCTAGTAGAAGGATGATCTTCGAATTTTACAAAATTGTAAAATTCAACAAATACAATTGTAAAAATACACTAAAAAACATTTTAAGGTGCAACAAAACTAAAAAAAATTTTTTTTTCTGCAAAAACAACACACTCTACCTAGAGAATATTACTATTCTCAAACTCTCCCTATTTATTCTCTCAAACTCCCTCCCTCCCTTCCTCCTACAAATTTATTTATGACCTTGACTGAATATAGAAAAAAAAAGATTGGAAGAAAGGGTGGATTGATTGGAAGAATTTTTTTATTTATAATTTTTTCTTCCTTCTTTGTATTAAAATTTGTAAAAAAAAATATAAATTATTGTCTTTATTTTAAAAAAAGATTTATATTTTCCCACATTAAAATGGAAGAAAAAATAACACAAAAAAACAAAAATCACCTTCCTCCCCCCAAGTTAAAAAAAATCATTTGATGTAAAAAAAGGATGACTGACTATGAATAATTGTGTTAAAATATTTTAGGGGTTTTTGTCAAAAAAAATATATATATAATTTTTATTAATAAATATTAAGGAGGAAAAAAAAACAAAAATCATCAAAACCCCCAGAAAAAAAAATTACTCCAAAAACACCCCAAAAATGTGTGTAATATCAATAGTTTTGTTTACAGGAATTTTTTATAGATTTTTTGGAGTATCCCCCAATGTCGAGAATAAATTCGCTTATATAGTAATTATGGAGAGGGCATTCTCGGAAAAATAAAATAAAAACGTTTTTAATTGTAAAAAATTTTAAATGTAAATTTTTAAAGAAACTCGTGCTTCTTGTATTCTCTAAAAAACTGGGTTTAATTGGTAAAAAAATTTTAAAAATTTGAGCGGCTTTAAAATAGAATAGGTAGCAAGCACTCCGAGCCTCCGTGGGCACAGGAGTGACGGGTTTCGGGTCGGAGCTTTTGCCAAAAAATCGGCGGGGTATGGGGTTTCGAGGGACGGGGAGCTACCCTACTTTAAAGATATATTGGAACACTAATCTTAAGAATTTTTGTCAAAAAATAATTTTACTATGTATTTTTACAAATATTTACTTATTAAAATGCTAAATATGGGGAAGAAAAAATACATATTTATTTGTTTAGTATATTTTTGTAATTAGATGACGTGGGGTTTTTTTTTGACTGGACAATAATAACAACAACCCCCAAAAAATTATTTTTTTTATTTTCTCGACTCATTTTTAAAAAATAATTCTTTTAATATTCTATAAATGCACACTAATAAATTAACTAATAAAAGGGACAGCAAAACAAAAAATTCCTTTGAAAAAAAATTTTTTTATTGGGTAAACATAGAAAAATTACTAAGCAAAAATTGGGTATCTGGTCGTTAAACTCATAATCAGCTCAAGTCCTCAATAAAAAAATTTCAATAAATTTTTTTTATCTTCGCTAAAAAAATCTATGAAATGAGCAAAAAAAAATAACAAGAGAAAAAAAATTTTTTTAAGTTCAGACTCAAGCTCGATAAATTATGGAGAGATCTGGGTCTCTCACTAAATTCTCAATAAAAAATTTTTTTCTAGATCAGACTCCAGCTCGATAAATTAATGAGAGATCTGGGTCTCTCTCTAAATTCTCAATAAAAAAGTTTTTTCCTAGATCAGACTCAAACTCGATAAATTATGGAGCAATCTGGGTCTCTCTAACAAATAAATTCTCAATCTCACTAAAAAAATTTTTAAAAAAGTTCCTAAACTATTAAAAAAAAGACTCCCAACATCACTAAAAAAATTATAATTTACTCTCTAAATTATCAAAAAAAATTTAATTTAAAAAATCTTTCCCCGGGTTAATTTTTAAAAAATTATTTTTAAATAGAAAAAGAACAAAAATATATTCTTATCATGCTTCAACTTTCCAAAAATAAAAAAAAAAGTTTTAGAGATAAACAAAAATAAAAAAGTTAATTGTCTCAAGAATGCTCTTCCCCCCCCCCTCCTCAAAAAAAAAAATAAAATAAAAATAAAAATCAGTCAAAAAAAAATCTTTAAAACATTAAAAGAAAGGTTAAGGGTTACCGGCTTTATTATTTTTTTTTTATAAAAATTTAATTCCACCTTTGTGTGTAAATATATGAGGAAATTATTTATTTTTTTTTTATTTTTTACTTTTAAAATTGAATGAATCAGCAATATAGAAAAATTTAAAGATTAGGAAATACTTTAAAATTCTTTGGAGGGAAAAAAGTGCAATTTGAATTGCTTAATAAGCAAAATGTTTTTGTATAAAATGACATTTTGTCACAAACATGTTTTACAAACTTAAAGGTTATAAATAGACTTAAAAACTTAAGTTTTGTGCAATTAAAAAATAAATTAAACTTTACAAACTTAAAGATTATAAACTTGTTTTACAAACTTTGTTGAGATTAAACTTAAGTTTTAAAAAAGTTTATAAACATTTTACAATTTTTGTTTGTTAAGCTTAACAAACAAACATAAAAACAAATTAAAATCCACGAACATATTTAAACATGTTTTACAAACTACAACTTACAAACAAACATAAAAACCTACAAACAAAATAAAATAAACTTTAAATTAAACTTGACAAGTTCCCCAACTTGTTTTACAAATTTAACATTTACAAACAACTTTAAAAACTTATTAAACTTTACAAACATTTTACAAACTTATTAAAACTTGTTTCTCAAACATTAAACCGAACAAACTTAAACTCAGTTTAAATTAAACTTTAAAAAACCTACTTGAAAGCATCCATTGTATATCCCCCCGTTGCTGGCACCCCACGAACAACAGCCTTCTCATCAATTTTTATTTGTTGTCTATTTTGTTGTCCACTATTTTTATGTTGAATATTTGTTGTATTTATTTGTTGTGAGGGTGAAATAGCCGTTGATGTTTTTGGTGTATTTGTTGTTGAGGAAGAAGGCATTTTTGTTGTTTCTTTAGTTTGTTTTTGTTGTTGTTGTATCTTTCCATTTTCTGTTTCTTCAAAACTTTTCTTTTTAATGTTTTTACTTTTGTTTTTCTCATCTTCTTCTTCATCTAATTTTGTTGTTGTTGTTTTATCTAAAACAAGTTTATTTTATTTAAACAAGTTTAATATTTATCTAAACAAGTTTAATGTTTTTCCAAACAAGTTTATTTAATTAAAACAAGTTGATTTATTAATTAAATAAGTTTAATCTTTAAACAAGTTTATTTTTTATTCAAACAAGTTTATTTATATTTATTAAAACAAGTTTATTTTTTTTGCTTCAAGTTTCTCAGGTTTATTTTCAAGTTTTGCTTCATTTCTTTCTTGACTTACAAAACAACTAAAATATTCACCTGTCATTGTTAACATTAATTCATCTTTCTCATTTGATACTAATGCTAATTTCAAAACATCGTTATCTAAAACATCCTTATTTTCTTCTTTATTTTGTTGTTTTTGTTTTGAATTGTTTGAATTACTTGTTTTGTTTTGTTGTCCATTATTTTGATTGTTGCTACCAGCATTATTACCTCCTCCTCCTCCACCCTCTCCAGATGATGATGAAGATCCGCTCGTCGTGATGACTGTTGGTAAGAAAAAATGTTCGGGTGTGTTAATATTGTTGTTTATAAGAGGAAAATAAGGTTGTGAAGCGAGTTCCGACGTTATTTTGTTGTTGAGGGCAAAATAAGAGAAGAGGAGAGTTTACTGAAAATTAATTTGAAAATTTAAAAAAAAAAATTTTTAGAAAAATTTAAATGAAAAAAATTAATTTTCTTTTCAGTATGACGTAAATTAAATTAGTTGGAAATTTTTCCAACTAACTAATTTAATTAAAGTTTTAATAAACACGTGTTTCATTAAAAATGTTTGTATTAAAATAAAAAAATTTGAACATGTTTTTTTCTTCCAACAAACAATGAAAACATAAAAAACTTTGTTTAAAACATATACATATAATATTTAAAACAAAATTAAATTAAAACAGGCGGAATTAAAACAGGCGGAATTTACAAAAAAAAACATAAAATTCTGATTTATAAAAACAGGCTTGTACAAAATCAGAATTTAATTTCAACAAGACATTTCTCTTTTAAAAACAAAAATTTATACAAAACCAGAATTTATTTATAACAAACAAATAATTCTGATTTATAAAAACACTTGTTTATATAAAACCAGAATTTAATTTTATTTTTGTTTTAATTGATCAAAAAATACCCCAAAATAGAGGTACTCTTTAAAGTTTGTACAAAAAACAACTTTTCACTAATTTTTAATTTGTTGATGGTCTATTTTGCCGTAATTCCTCTCTCTTTTGGCCTTAATATTTTGTAAATTTTCCGTTTTTTTTGTAAAACAATTTTGTTGTTTTATTAATAAAATAAAAGCTACTAAACAAACACACCTGTCGATTAATTAAATATTTAGATTATTTATTAATTTTTGATGATTTTTGAGATTCGGAAAAATAAAAAGGCCACACAACAAGAATGGTGATGACCTGTGTCACCGAGAAAGGGCAAAAATATTTTTAAAGTGCAATAAATTGAGGAAGAAATATTTACAAAATAGGCAAATATAAAAATCAGAATTAAATTAAAACAAGCGAAATTAAAACAGAAAAAACAAGCAAAATCAGAATAAAATTAAAACATGAAGCGAAATTAAATAAAATAATTAAACCAGAATTAAATTAAAACAAGCATTCCAACAACAAACAAAATCAGAATTTAAATAAAACAACTAAAAATAGTAAGATATAATATAAAAATCAGAATTAAATTAAAACAAGCAAAATTAAATCAGAAAATATAGATATCCTAACAACAAACAAAATCAGAATTTATATAAAACAATTGACCCTAAAATTACAAATATAAAAAACATTTAAACCAGAATTAAATTAAAAACAGGCGGAATTAAAACATCTGCTTTTATTCTGATAAAATCAAAACAAAAACAGATGTTTAAAAATCCGCCTGTTTTAATTTAATTCCGCCTGTTTTAATTTAATTCTGGTATAAATTTAGTTATAATTATTAAATTATTAACAAGAAAATTGTCAAATTAAATTAATTATTAAAACATAGAAATTATTTTTGTCCGTCAAAAAATTTTAAATATAATTTTATATATTTTATTATACACCTGTCGACAATTTAAAGTAACACTTAAAGCAATTTTTTAATTTTACTCTCGCGCACACTTAATTTTTTTTTTATTTTACCCATTAAATATACCCAATTGTCTGAGTGTTTTATCGACATAAAATAAAAATTAAGAAAAAAAATTTTTTTTAAGGTGAAGAAAAAAAGATAGTTGAGACGAACTGACTGACTTCCCCCTACAACATTATGTCCAAATGATATGGATGGATGAACCAAAGAAAACAAGGAGACTAGGTAGATAATAGAGAAGATGGGCTGTTTAGGAAGGTCTCTCTCCTCTTCTCCTCTTATTTTTTTTACTTCCTTTAATCTCAATCGAATAGTAGTAGGTCCTTTTCTTCTCTCTATTAACCAGCCGATGACGACCAAGTAAATAAAGAAGAAAAGTGGTTGGTTGTTTAGTTGGAGGGGAAGCTGGTTTGCTAGAATTGCAAAAAGAATCTCTCTCATTTTTACCTCACAAAAATATATATTTTGTAGGAAAGGTAAGTAAAAGAAGTCGAGAATGGCTAAATAGTATTGAGAAATAAAGTTGTTGTGTGTGCGGGCTTATAAAATCAAAAATTGATTATTAAATAGATTAATTCGGTAGTTGTAAAAATTAATTGACAAGTTGACTGGATAGAACAAATAAAAAAAATCAGAATTATGTTGAGAATCAGGCTGATTTTTAAATAAAAACAGGCGGAATTAATTTGAGTTCTGGTTTTTATTAAAAAAAAGTTGTTTTAAATTAATTCTGTTTTACAAAAACATGTTTTAGAAAAATTCTGATTTTTAATTAAAAAGAGATTGTTTTGAATAAATTCTGATTTTTAATTAAATATGTTCAAAATAAATTCTGATTTTTATTAAAAATCAGAATTTATTATAAACATTTATTAAAGTTTTAGGCATAATTTAACTGCCTATTAGAGTATGAATAATATTAAAAAATAATTAGGGCTCAAAACAAGATTATTTTTATAAAAATAAATTTTAAAAAAATCATAAAATAATAAATTAACTAAAATAGCGTTAACATATGCTTTTTTAATTTTTTTTTCAAAAAAATTTTTTTATTAAAACAAAAAAGAACAAAAAACATGAATAAGAAAGCCCAAAAAAGCATCTACTAAAGCTATTCATTCACTCATAAAAAAAAATAAAAAAAAGAAAAAAATTGAATGAATTGTCAATCGAGGGGGTAAAAAATAAAGTAACATATACAACTGATATATAATTGCAAAAATAAAAGAGGAAAAAAATTTATTTGAGGGAATTAAGAACGAAAAAAATGAGAAAAAATGTAGGCCACTAGGGAGAATTGATATTTGAAGAAATAAAAATGGAAAAAAAATAATTTTTTGAATAAAAACCCATGATAAAATATTAGTAGAGAAATTGGAGGATGACATGCAAAAATAAAGGGAGAAATGTAAAAATGGTGAAAAAGAATAGTGGCGGAAATAATAAAAAAAAAGGTTTGATTAAAAAGGGATTAGTAAGTTTGGGCGAAAATCAATTATTTATTAATCAAATTAAAATAAATAATTTAGCGAAAAAAATTTGTTCAAATTATATTCTGGTTTTTATTTAAAAAGGCGTGTTTTTTCAAGTTTAGAAAAACAGGCAGGTTTTTATTCTGGTCTATTAAAAACAAAAAATTCTGATATAAGTTCTGGTTTTTTAAAAACAAAGTTGTAACAGTAATACATAAACATGTTTCCGGTTTATTAAAACAAGGTTTTAATTAAAACAAGTTAGTTTATGCTTAAGTAAAACAAGTTGGTTTCCGGTGTATTAAAACAGGTTGGTTTTGTTTACCAAACAAGTTGGGGGTTGTTTAAATAAAACAAGTTTAATTAAAACAAGTTTATTAAAAACAAGTTTATAAAAACAAGTTAGTGCATTATTCCAAAACAAGTTTATATAATTAAAAAATTACAACTTCTCCATTTCAACTTGTTCAAATAATTAAAACAAACCTAAAACAAATTATCAACCTTTTTTACAACAAATTCAATTTTGTTTTATTAACGTCAATTTTTAAAATAAAATTAAAGCAAATTCAATTTTTAGTGCTCTCTCGAAAAGAGGCAAAACTAAAAAAAAATATTGTCTATGAAAACGTGAATATATAAAGAAATTGGAGAAATATGGAAGGAAAAAAAGAAATAAAATATTTATATATTTGTGTGTGTGTTATTTGAAGCGAGAACAAAACGGACGTCGATGTGAGTGGCAGCTTCGAGAATAGGGGAAAAATTGAGAGGAAAAATTTGGGGGGAAATGTTTTAAACTGAAAAGAGACTGTATAGAAACAAGAGGGAAGGTAGAGAAATTGAAATTTTTTGTTAGGAAAGACGAATAATATTTGTTTGGAGACAGATTGACTGGTTGGTAGAGGTTGGTAATAATGAGAGCAAGCTTTTAAAAAGGAGAGAAAGGAGGGGCTGTTTAAACGTGAGGGCAAACAAAAGATTAAAGAGGGGATTGTTTGAGTATAGAGGTGAATTTGAATCTCACCTTGAATTCATCTCTAGACTGGAGAAAAGGCAAAAAAATCGAATTCAAAGTCGAACAGGTCGGAAAAATATAATCGAATTTATTCGATCGAATATTCGATTTGTCCATACCCATCAAATATCCGATAAAACAGACATATTAATTAGAGAAAAAAAGAAAAAGGGAAACGCTTAGCCTTTAATAGTCGTAGACTAAACAAAGCTGTCTGATGAATGCAGCAGGATTTTAGCTGCTAAAAAGGGGGATAAAAATGAATCGATATTTTCGTTGCAAAATGTCAAGAGTAGAATGTCAGAAAGACAAAATGACAGAAACACTGCTTGAACAAAATGTTAACACATGTAAAAAATCAGAATTATTTTAGAACATGCTAGTTTTAAACAAAACAGGCGGAATTATAGAAATTCTGATTCTATTAAAGAAAACGTTGTTTTATTTAAATTCTGATCATGACAAAGGGTACACCCCAACGTACCGCAGCCCAACGTACCGCGGCCCAACGTACCGCACGCCCAACGTACCGCAAATCGATACATGAATAATAGTTGTTCCAACAACAACTACAACAAAAATATTTGTTATATTGATGGGGAGAGTTGACCCAATGACTTGGGAAACCTGTCAACGGGGGTAGTTGGTCCGTCAACGGGGGAAGTTGTTCCGTCAAAGGGGGAAGTTGTTCCAATGACGGGGGAAGTTGTTCTGTCAACGGGGGAAGCGGGGGAAGTTGTTCCGTCAAAGGGGGAAGTTGTTCCAAATGACGGGGGAAGTTGTTCTGTCAACGGGGGAAGCGGGGGAAGTTGTTCCGTCAAAGGGGGAAGTTGTTCCAATGACGGGGCAAGTTGTTCTGACAACGGGGGAAGTTGTTCTGTCAACGGGGGAAGCGGGGGAAGTTGTTCCGTCAAAGGGGGAAGTTGTTCCAATGACGGGGCAAGTTGTTCTGACAACGGGTGAAGTTGTTCTGTCAACATGGTAAGTTGTTCCAAGAACGGAGGATTTTGCTTCAATAACGGGGGATTAGTTCAACAGCCAAGGAAGAATTCCAAAAAAAAATAAAATTTTGTTCGGCGGTACGTTGGGCCTGCGGTACATTGGGCTGCGGTACGTTGGGCTCGCGGTACGTTGGGCCTGCGGTACGTTGGGCTGCGGTACGTTGGGCGCGGTACGTTGGGCTGCGGTACGTTGGGCTGCGGTACATTGGCCTGCTCCCCATGACAAACATGTTTTAAATAAATTCTGATTTTAAGAACATGTTTTAGGAAAATTCTGATTAGAACATGTTCTAAATAAATTCTGATTTACTGTAAAAGTCAGGTTTACTCGAACATATGTTTTTAACAGCAAAAAAATTCTATTCTGATTTTAAATACCAGAATTTTGCCTTAAAAATCTTTAAAAATAATTTTAAAAAATTAAAAAACGATAGTAATTAATTTAAAAATTAAAATCGTTTTTAAAATTTACTCTTTTTCATTTTTATAAATTTAAAGAAGAACATAAAATCACATGGATTTTGCCTTAACTTTTGCTTATCTGTTTTTTGAACAGTTGACCGACCCATTTAATTTTTTAGTTTTTTATTTACTTCCTTTGTTTGCTAAACTAGTTCCTCTTTTAAAGATAAATTTTCTTTTAAAACCCTCCAAAAATTAAGAAAAATCTGGTTCTCCCCAAAGAAACTTCCATTGTAGAAAAACAGCGGGGACTTCCTCCCGGAAATGCCAAACATTCTGTTATATTTTTGGATGTTTTTATGTGTTTAATAAACATGTATGTTCGGATAAATCTAATTTCTACAACAATCAGAATTTAATTAAAACATATTTTTAAAATCAGAATTTTTCTAAAACATGTTCTTAAAAAAAGAATGTCTTTAAAACATGTTTTAAAATCAGAATTCATTTAAAACATGTTTTTTTTGAAATCAGAATTTAATTAAAACAACATTTTTTAATAAAAATCAGAATATCTCTAATTCCGCCTGTTTTAATTAAAAATTAGCATGTTTTACAATAATTCTGGTTTCTTCCCTATCTAAACAGATAGAAAATTAAATAAAATGTTATGATCATTATATAATTAATTTCTTAAATATTCTAATCAATTGTATGTACTTGCTTTAAAAACTATTTATTTTTATACTTTGTACTTCCTTTGTTTTAATTACCCAATAAATTATAGTAAAGATAAAGTATACACTAAAAATACTAAAAACTAAATTAATTATTACACTAAAAAAAGAACGTGAAAAAAAATAAAAATAAAATAAGTGTAATTAAAAAATAGTCATTAAATTACTGCAAATTGCTGGTACTATGAGCAATAAAAATTAAAAAAAAATAAAATTAAATATATTTTCATGGAAAAATAAATAAATAAAAAAATAAGTAATACAGTTGTAAAAAATCAGAATATTAAAAATAAAAATCAGAACAACTGAAATCAGAATAAAATAATTTTAAATAAATCAGAATGTTTGTGTAAAGTTAAAAAGTTGTTTAAAACATTAATTATTCTGATTTAAGAATATTTAATTACGACTTCTTTAATTCCAACTTGTTCGAAACTTATTAAAACTTGTTTGTAAAATTAAAAACTTGGTTTAAAACTTTTTAATATGTTGTAAATTAATTCTGATTTTTATTTAAAAAGTTTTAAGTAAATTCTGATTCTAAAAACATATGTTTTTAAAAAACATGTTTCTCTACATAAACTTTTCAAATACCCAAAAGATGTTAATTAGGTATTTTAAAGCAACAATAAAATTACTAATAATAATTCTAGTAAAAAATACTAACAAAAAATATAATAATGTAAAAAAATAAGAATTTTCTCAACTAATGAAGTCGCCAAACATAAAATATGATATAAACAAAACAACGCAGGAAATGCAGCTGAAAGGAGCGGGGAAAATAATGCAAAAATAGGGGGGAAATGTGTGAATAGGATTAATCCAAAATATCATTTCTGCACTAGTTTACACGTAAATTGTTGATATTTTGGAAAGAGTTGAGTGAAAGGGGATTATAGTTAGAAGAGCACAGCATCGCTGTCAAAGAAAGGAAGGCAGACGGAAGTAAACGACCCCGGAAGAAAAAAAATATAGGGAGAAAAAAAAGGAAGAAGTGGGTTTTTTGTGTTAAGCGGATGGAAAAGCGGATAAATTGAAAAAAAAATGAGACAAAAAGAGGAATTAACTAGAAAAAATGATAAAAAAAGTACAAAGTGCGAAGTTGGGAAGAAATGGAAAATTGAATCAATGAAGTTTAAAATATGAATGTTTTTAATTTGGCTGTACTTTAGCCGGTGGCCCACTCAGAAACGGGTCAAATTATATACCATTCGATTCGTCTCGGCGAGCTGAGTCGAATGGTACCACTCTTTTTTTGCGGAAATTCCTGCGAGCAGAGATATAGATCTTTAAAAACCGAAAAACCATAGGGGGGACCAAGCACAATTTTGGGGTGAAAAATTCGAATATGCAAATAATAGCTCATTCGAAAGAGCTCGTCGAGCTGAGTCGATTGACACCAAAAACAACGAAATCCGTCTTTATTTGACAAAGTTATGAGCATTTGTTTTAGCTCCTTACCTTTGGTCTACGTGCAGGTTTTTCTTACTGGGGAGGAAGCCAGACATGCCGACCGCAGCTAAAAGCATAAGTTTATGTTACGAGCCCAGACCCAGCGCCCGTAGACTCCCCGCGAGGCGCGTGCCGCAAAACTCCGCGCGAAGCGCGGAGTTTTGCACAAGCGCCTCGCCGACGCCCCATAGGTTTATGTTGCTTGTATTTTGTGTGGTAACTTTGTCTAAATTTGTTCAATCACTGTGATCTTGGTGTCATTCGACTCAGCTCGTCGAGCTCTTTCGAAAGAGCTATAATATGATTAAAAAATTTTTAATTCCAATAATCGCCCCTTTGGATCTTCGGTTTTTAGGGGTCTATATCTCGGTCCAATCAAGTCGGATTTCGTTGATTTTGGTGTCATTCGACTCAGCTCGAGGAGCTCTTTCGAATGAGCTATCATTCGAAAAATCGAATTTTTCACCCCGAAATTGAGCTTACTCCCCCCTATGGTTTTTCGATATTCAGGTACCTATATCTCGGCTTGTAGGCGTTTCCGCAAAAAAAGAATGGTAACATTCGACTCAGCTCGCCGAGACGAATCGAATGGTATATATATTGAGGGGTTTCTGAGTGGGCCACCGGCTAAAGTATATCCTTTAATTTTTAGTGATGTTTGAATGAAAACAAGTTTAAAAACAAGTTGCCAAACTTGCTTATAAACAAGTTGGAAAGTTGGATAAAATTAATTAAAATAAACTTATTCATAAAACATGTTTTTTTATTCGAAACAAGTTGGAAAACAAGTTTTAATTAAAACCTGAGTTTAATTAAAACATAACAGTGTTGAACAAGTTTTGATTGAATAAAAATAAACCTGTTTATAAACAAGTTGGAAGAAATTAATAAAAACATACAACCTAAATAAAAACAAGCTGGTCGTTTTTATTTTGATAAAAACATTGATAAAATGTTTGTCATCTCAATAAAACATTACACTCATTAAAACATGTTTGTTTATTTTTCCCGTTATAAATAATGTTTTTACAATTTAACCGTCTAAAATTCTGTTTATTTTTCTACAGCAAACAATAAATAAACAACCACTATAAATACTTTTTCTGATTAGATAAAAATATCATTTTTTCTCGTTATCATTTTAATTTTAAAAAATGTTAAGGATTTTAATAATTCATAAAACAATTTTATCTTTCTTTCTTACGACGATTTCTTTGATTTTTTGAGAAAATAAATTAAAAAAAGGGGTCTTTAAAAAATAAAAATTGAATGAAATGATTAGGTAAAATTCTAAAAAAATGTTTTAATAAATTTTACAAAGTTCCTTTTTAATAAATTTATATTTTACATAATTGTTAGTTGATATATTTGGAAAATTATGGGCGTATTAACACTTACAACCACTCAATTTTTCACTGATATTTATAGCTAATCCAAAAACATTAAATAAATTAAATATATATTTTAGATAAATACCAAGGCCTTTAAATAAAACCAAAAATTAAATGAAAGATCAGAGAAAAAAAAAATATGAAAAATAAAGTATAAAAATGGAAAAGCTTAAAAATTAACCAAAAATAGCTTATAGCTGCAAAACTATAATTATTATTATTGCTTACAAAACATCTAAACTTGTATGTTTAAGTTATTTATAGTGAAACTTGTTTTAAGCTAGTGCCGAACAAGTTTATTTAATAAGCTTAAAAATTGAAAACAAGTTTATTAAAAACAAGTTTAAACTTTGTTTAAATACAAAGTTTGTTTGGGACAAAAATTAAGTTTATTAAATAAACTTGTTCAAAAACATCTTGAAACAAGTTAGATTAAAAAATAAAACAAACTTGTTCGTAATAAATTTAAAACAAGTTTAATTATATGTTGCCGAACAAGTTTGTTTTATAAAATTATTTTCTGAACCAAACTTAATTTGCTTTTAAACAATGTTTAAATAAGTTTTATTTATTTTAAAACATAAAAAATAATAGAGAAAAAGCTTAAAAATTAATTAAAAATAGCTTTTGCTGCAAAAATAAAAATAAAAAAAAATTAATTAATTTAAAAATAGCAAAAATAAAAAAGCTAAATAAAAAAGCAAATATAATAAATGTTAAGCTAACATTTATTAGATATTGATCGTTAAAGCAGGGTTAAACAAAAAAGTAATTTTTTATAAAGCTTTGCTAACAACGAGAAAAATATAAAAAATGTTTTTTCCTAAAATTATTCTCGTGTTTTGTGTTGTGTTTGTGTACTGTGAAAGCATTTTTCTATTATTTTTTCTTTTATTTTTTTTTATTTTTATAATCACGCGCAATAACATTTTTACTCTAAAAAAGGCAATAAAAAGGACACGAACTAAATAAATATTAATTTCCACCAATTAATTTCTAAAAATGGAATAATAGTAAAAATGACGATTTATTAATAGTCGCGAGAGTATAAGATGAGGACAAAGAAAATATAAAAATTTAAAAGAAAAGAGATTAAAAAATAATTTTCTAAAAATAGATTTGTGATTACTAAATATGAGTAATATAAATTACACTGTTAATGTTTGTTTTAATAAAACTTTAATTCAAACATTTAAAAAGAAAATTAAAAACAAAACAAGTTGCTCAAAACATTAAGTAAAGAAAAAAGTTGAAATAATTTTAGATAATTAAACTTGTTTGAAAACAAGTTGGTCAAACAAGTTGGAAAAAAGGTTGGAAAAACAAAAGTTGGTAAGATTGAAATAACTAAAACATTAATTAGAACAATAAAACTTGTTTGGAAACAAGTTGGTCAACATAATAAAAAAATCTAATGACAACAAAACATAACTTGTAGAAGCATTCTAGATTCACTGTAAAACTTGATTAAAAACAAGTTGAATTAAAATATTTTGTAATGTTGCCGAACAAGTTTATTTTTAGCAAAGTTTATATTTTATATTTATTCCAAACAAAACTTTGTTTTTATATAGTTTAATTTAAAGTTTATTTTAAAGTTTAGATGGTTTTTATAATTAAAATAATTCATCCCCAAAAATCAAAAACCCCATCACCCCCTATTTCCTCTTCGCCTCCCTCCATTTCCTCTTCTCCATTATCATCATCCTGTTGCCAATCATCAGCAAAAGGTTCAAATAAATCGTCTCCCGTTCCCCAACCTATTTAAACAAATATTTTTTGAAATTTAAATTTTATAACCCCATCCTCTTTGACGATTCAACCTTCGTTTTTTAGTCTGTTGGTGCCTTTTTCTGTTAGTTATTCGCCTATCACCTCCATTTAATCTTTGTCGGTTCCCTACAAAACCAAATCCTGAACCCCCAATACGTGGTCTTAAAGGAAATTGACGAATTGGTTGTTTAGTTGTTTTGGGGGCTTCAGCTGCTGCCCAAAGGTTGTTGTTGTTTTCAATGTTTGTTGTGCTAGTTCGAGCATAACAAAGATTCTTAAAATTGGAGGGGGAAAACAAATTTTAAACTTGATAAAACTTGAAATAAAACAAGTTTATTATTTTCTGGGAGGAAATGTTTTTTACAATTGAAAAAAGTTTTTACAAACTTGAAATAAAACAAGTTTGAATAAAACAAACTTGAATTAAAACAAGTTGGTCAAGTTTTGGGGAAAAATGTCTTTACACAGGAAAAAACAAAGCTTGAATAAAACAAGTTTTAATTAAAACAAACTTGAAATAAAACAAGTTTGTTGTGTATGGAAGGAAATCAAACATGTTATAAAACAAGTTGGTCAAATTTTAATAGAAAAAGTTTTTTAAACATTTTTTCCTACCCCAGCACCACATTCATATCCTTCAGGACATTTACCATTGACGCAAGGGCCAATAACACTACTAAAAATAAGTTCATAAACATTAAAGAACAAAGGAAGTTTAAAAACCCAGCGCCTGCAGCACAACAAAAATTGTTGGAATTGCAAACGTATCCAGTCGGGCAGAGGCCGTTAATGCAATTTCCTAAAAAAATTTTTCCTAAATTTTTAATGTGGTTAAAAACCAAGCGATTTTCCAATAGGACATCGACAACAAAATTTTCGATGGTTACAGAAAAAGCCTTGCCCACAAAGTCCATTCATACAAGCAGCAACTGCTTCCTCACCATCACAAGCTGTCTTCAAGTCAGGCTGTGGATGTATTATCATTGCAGGACGACAACAACAACGAACCATATTTACCATCTTTATTAGGTCAAAAAATTTTTTTTTTAATTTCCAATTTTACTTGAGGCTGCATACACTGAACAGCTTGACAATTTGTTGGTTGACAACCAAAACATTGAGGAGGGCAAGGCTCCATTTGTTGTTGTTGAGGGTACGGTGGCCACATTTGTTGCTGTTGTGGCCACCATTGTTGTCGTTTAACGCGAGAATGATTTTGTAGGGGAACATAATTTAGGAGGGAAGATGATGAGATATTTTTGTAGGAAGAAGGTACTAGAATGAGTGTAGATTGTACAAATGGGGGCAATATAGAAAGGATATTGCTTATAAAAATAATTATAAAAATGAAGAATAATGGAGGAAATGAAGTAAGAGTTGTTAAAATTGAAGAAAATAAAAGCCGGGAAAGGGAAGAGGAGTTGGAGCTGTCGGAGTTGTTGAGGGTCAATGAAGTTTTTTCTGCATAAATTTTTGAATAAATTTTAGAAATTTTATTTAGACCTAAGATTAGCGTTTGAATAGGATAAAATATAATGGAAAATCCAGGATAAAAAATTTGGCCAAAAACAAAGAAGTATGGGTTAATAACCGGCTGTGTTAGTCTAATGTGTCAGCCCAATATGACCCTAATTTGGAACTAGAAATCCAAAAAACCTATAGTTTAATTAAAATTAGGTTCACCAGGGAGATGACAGCAATGTCTTCGCCACAGGCATTTATTGAAATTCAGAGGGTTCTTTTTATAAGGCTCAGACAGACAACAAGCAGTACACGAACAAGAGTCACCAGATTGACAGGCTATTTTTTAAAAATTAATTTAACCCCCCAATTTGATAATCTACCTATAATTTGACTTGAACCACCATTAGAAATACTTGTTGAAGTCAAAGCTACAGATGGAGTTAACAGACAATCATCACTATCTAACGGCATAGTATTGGTTCAAAATAAACCCGGGATTAGTTTAAAAGAATTTTTGCTTCATTTAAGTGTTTGTGTGCTTTATAATTATAATTCTTCAAAAATTTTTGGGACTAATTTGAAAGAGAGGAAATAATATATAAATAGCAAATGAGTCTTTAAGAGAACAATGACCGGTCAAAATAATTCTTTCTATCCTCTCTATTAAGCACTTTTTGCTTTTTCTTCTTCCCGATTTGCGCATTCGAGTGCCCGTCCAATTCTTATGGCCTCCGCCCTTATTTTTAAAAGAAGAGTTTATCTTCGTTCGAGATTTTTAAATGATAGAGAGGGAGTAGTTTCTTAGTTCAAGCGCTTCTTCTGGCTATTATTACTGAGGGAGGAGGATAAACTTTCATAACCAAGTCTTCATAATCAGAAGATGACCATGCTCAATGCTATTACCCTGTCTTAATAATTAGAAATGAGATAGTAGCTTCATCACCGTATTAAATAGATTCCTTATCCTCTTCAAGAATATCTTCCTATCTTCATTTTCAATCCATTAGTTATTCATCTCTTCACCTACTCCTCTCTTCCTTCAGTTTTTCTTCCTATCTTCAACGCCTTTTTTCCTTCAATTTTTCTTGAGTTTTCTCTCAATTTCCAACTTTATGATTAATCTTCTTCAATTCAACTATTAATTCTCTTCTTTCTCCTATTTTTTCTAAATTCCTTCCTTATTATTTGTTTTTTAATTTTCATTGCTTTATTATTATCAAAAAATAGAAAAAAAAGCAGCAATCGGCCGACAATCGGCTCAATGCTTAATACTTCCTCTCTCCTCATCTTCTTCCTCTTCCCTCTAAAAAATTTTTTAAATGGGATTTTTTCCAAGCACTTTTTAAATTTAGCTACATTTGACTCATCCACCTTTTCCTTCTTCCTTTTCCTTCAATTCTTCGCAAAAAATTCTTCTGTTCCCTTCTCTCCATGTTCAGTAATCCTTTCGAGAGTGCTTCGATGAGACAAATAATTTTTCAAGTGGTTGATAGTGATCATAAACTGAAACTGACCCTTTTAAATATACTTTTTTAGTTACTTTTCCTATTCCGATTTGGATTTAGTTAAATAAAAAAAGTAAGCCTGTCTTTTAGAGGGTGGGGGAAAGGACATAGGCTAGAGTTGTTTCATACATCCATATTTTTTCATAATTCTTTTATTAAAGGGTAGAGGCAAGTTTAAAAGATAAATGTAGGGGGGCAATAATACTTCTCAGGCGTGTAGTAGAAGGTCGGGGTTATAATAAAGGGACAGGGAAGACAGAGAAAGACTGGCGGGGACAAGTCCAGAGAGTTGTTTCATACATAATTTTTGTTCATAATTTATTTTCTTGATTAAGGGACCGAGTTTAAAAGTTAAAAATAAGTCCAATATACACCCTAGGCGTACAGTAGAAAACTGGAGGGTTCTAATAAAAAACAAAAAATTATTTAGCTTAAATTTATTAAATTTAAGAAAATGGCTCGCTTAATTAATTTTAAATATAAATTAATTTATTCAATCTGTTCAATTATTTGTTCATTATCTTGTTGAACAGGTATAAAATACTGTCCATTAGCAGCGTCATAAAATACTTGGAGAGGTTGTAAATTATAGTTGGGATTAATTATTAATTGTTGTTCTTGCTTTAAATTTAAATATGTTTTTATTTGTTTTTAAAACAAAAAGAGAAGAAAAAAGTTGGTCAAGTAGTAAGAAAAATAAAAAGGTTAAAACTTGAATTAAGACAAGTTTCAAAAAAAGTTTGCAACTTGTTTAAAACAAAGTTTTAAAAATAAGAGAAAAAAGTAAGTTTTACTAAAGTAAGTAAAATAAGAAAAGGTTAAAACTTGAAGCGAAACAAGTTGGGAAAACAAGTTAGAAAAAAATGCAACTTGTTTAGATTTTTAAAAATAAAACATTTAAAAAAACACTTAAAAACAAGTTGGTTATGAACTCAACAAATAAATAAAAAAAAGTTTTGGTAAAATAAAAAATTAAAACCTAGCAAAACAAGTTGGAAAAAAGTTTGCAACTTGTTTGGAAAAGGTCGAAACTTGTTTAAAACAAAGTTATAAAAAAATAGGAGAAAAACAAGTTTAAAAACATTTAAAAACATGTTTAAAAATTAAAAACATGTTTAAAACTTTAATAAAACCCAACAAGGTTAAAACTTGTAGCAAAACATGTTGCTAACATGTTAAAAAATAAAATTAAAACATAAACCCACCAAATAAACCATTTGTTGATTTTCATCAGTTGTAGCAACCTCCACTTCTTTAGCAGTATTTGCTGCATTGTTGTTGTTGTTAGCGTTGTTGTTATTGTTTCCCATTTGTTGGACAAGTGTAGCGGCTTGACTACTTTGCAGTCTGTTGGCTTAAAAAAATTTTTTTTTGAAAATTTTTGAAAAAATTTTTGAAAATAAAAAAAAATTTTTTCAAAATTTTTTTTAATTTAATTAAAAAAAACCTTCTTTAAATTTCCTCAAAAAGTCTTCCAATGGCGTCACATATTCGTCAAATCCCAAAGTACGAAAGGCAGTTAATATGTCTTCTCCAGAAATTGTTTTTCTTCGTTCCTATAAATTTATTAAATTAAAAAATTTTTGAAAAATAATTTTTTAAGAAAGAAGGTCGGAGAAAAGTAGAAAGAAAACAGAAATTTTGCGGATAAAAATTTGTACGCAAGTAAAGTCCGCAAAATATTTGCGGATAAAAAATTTTTGTCCGTAAATTTTTTGCGGACAAAATTTTTGCGGATTTTCCTGAATTTTTTTTTCAACAAAAACTGGTTTCGAGTTCACCCTCTTTCCGAATAAATTAGAAAAAAAATTCCACTTACTATTGCACATCGTTCACTAGCTTCGGAAGTAATAAACTTAAAAAATACCAAAAAAATTAAAAATAAATAATTTTAAAAAATACCAAAAGAAATTCAGTAATACATTCCTGAATGCATTCCTTAGCTTCCTTAGACAATTTTCCTTCTGGTGGAATTACTCGCTTCATTACTCGAGTTATATTTGCTGAAATTTGAGAGTTGGAAATTATAAAGAAAAATATTTTGGCTTTTGTTTAGGTCACGCATTCTATAAAGTCGTACGATTTTCTTTCGTTTAAAATAAGTTTTGAGTTCAAAAGGTCATAGGTTCCAACTAGGAATGAGTCAGAGCATGCGAAACACGATCCCGGCTTTTAAAGAAGGGTGAAAACAAGAATGATTAAAATAAATTCGAAAAGACGTAAAATTTTAATATTTATTCTCAAAGTTTAAAAGTTTTTAATAATTTTTTGGGGGGAGATTTTTATTTTTAAAATTAAAAGTGAAGAGGAAAAAGATGTTTTTGGGGTATTAGAATTTGCTTTTAAAGAAGGGTGAAAACAAGAATTGTTTTAAAATTATGATTAAGTTGGAATATTAAAAATATGAATTATTTGGGAAGAAACATGAAAAAGAATCATCAGAAAAATTATGAAATAATAATAGAAATAAATTTGGAATTTTATTAAAAAATATTTAAAAATAGAATGTTATGAAACATCTTTAAGTCGGGCCAGTCCCGACAACACGAAATTCCAAACCCGATTCAAAAAAAAGTTCCAGCCAATCCATGGTTTCAACGTACAAACGTTGAAGGAAAACTGTTAAAACGAACCCAAACAAGAGCCAAAATATTCACTTAAAATTTAAGAACTAGCCTATAGGTAGAAAACGATCCTGCTCGAGAATTATACCACCATTTGTATTACTTGAAGAAGCTTGCGGTTGTTGTTGCTGCTGTGTCTCGTCAACAAATTCATTAATTATAGTTTCATCCATTCAAAGCTTCTTAAAAAGTTGTGAGGATTAATTAAATATTAGCAGAAGTAAATAAATTAAATTAACAACGAACTGGTAGAAAAATAAAGAAAAATCCCCTTAAAAATTCAAGAAAACCGGAAACGGAAATTAAGAAGAAAGACTATAGAAAAAGAAGAGACGGTTAGAGAAAAAAAGTTAATTTATTTTAATTTTGGCGTTCTGTTTAAATTTTCGCGAATTTTTCATTTAAACGCAGAACGGCGTCTATTTTATCATAAAAATTTTTTAAGAAATTTTTAGAAATTTTGCAAAGTTTTCAAGGTCCTTCAACCTTTTTTACTTTTTTTTAGACGCTGCCTCGATGCTTCCATTCCCATATTCTCCATTTGCTGCTGCTCAACATTTATTTGGATATAATGACCCAAAGTTACTTAAGGATGCGAAAAAGACGGAATTCGTTAAATTTATGGATATTTGTGAACACTTTTTTATTTCACATCCAGCATCTGGACAAAAAGAAGGGCATGAACTTGAAAGGTTTTTTTATTTGAAAAGAATTTTTGGGGGATCTTGAACTTATTGTTAGGTGTATCGTGTTAAATCGCTTCCCAATTATTTTTATATGTCTTTAGCATCAAAAAGGATTTGTTGGGAATAACTGAGAGTAGGGGGAAATTCTCTCGTAACTGTCAGATGGGCATAAGGGGGCAGACCAAAATATTCTTGATCGTGAGTCTCCCTTATCCGTCCAAATATTTGGAGTAGGGTTGCCGGTTCTGGACCTAACCGAAGGACCGAGGATTTTTTGGTTCGGGTTCGAATATCCGAAGAATTTTCAGGAATTGACTACCTTAATTTTGAGTTGACCTCCATGGACATTTGACCACTAGAATGTCGACCTTCTGGATTGAATTCATTTTTGTTGAATTGGGGAGAATGTAAGCATATGACAAAGTTTAATTAAGTTGGGATTAGGGTAGATTTCAGATGGGCAAAAGGGAGCAAACCCAAAATTTTTTATATTTTATGTTTTTTAGAGTTATGCTGTTCTTGCCTGCTTCAGAGACCTTAACAAAACAAATGGAAATAACTGGAATGGCTGAGGCTATAGTTAACTTTAGTGCCAATATACTCTTTAATCAGCCAAAGGATACTGAAATTAAAGATGGAAAACAACAAACAAAGCCGTTATGTATAAATGGTGATGATGAGTCTGTTGATTTTAGATATGTAAGAGATTAATTTTCTAAAATTGGGAAATAAAAGCAATGTTTTTAACTTTCGCCGATTTTCTTTTTTTGGTGTTTCACCTTTCATCACTTGCATTTTAAAATCTGTACAACTCTGTTTTAGTGTTTTACCGGAACCGAGATTTTGCTGGAACCGGATCCAATTTTAGTCTCTGTTTTCTGAACCGGAACTAAAAAACGCCGGAACTTTTTCAAACCGGAACTTTCGGTGAAACCCTACTCTGTGTATACTCTAACCAGGAATTTTCTAGGCCAGTCCATGTTGTTAAATATTTTTAATTAAAATTTTAGATCAGTTCATCGACATCAAAAGAAGTTGTTCTGGTTGTTGAGAATGGAGCCTTCTTTATTGGTGTTTCTTTGAACAGGTTTTTACTATCTATTTTTTAAAAATTTTTACTTGTGTTTGATGGGTAATTTTTTTCAAAATTCCAGTTTAATTTTTTTAACATTTTAATCTTATACCTAACCTCCTCTCAATTTTTGGGAAATGATAAAATACATCAATTTCTTTTTTTGTTTTTGTAAAGTTGGTCTCCTACTCCGCCCTACAATTATTTTTACGGTATTCCCCGATGTGATCCCTGGGAAATTTTTTGTCCTCGGTCAACGTCAACCTTTTCTCCGACATCCTTATTCCCAGAAAAATGACTGCCTGACGTGTCGTTGGATTTTATTTTCCTTACCTCCTTATCAAATTTCATTTTCTCTTTTAAATTCTCAATTATGTTTTGTTAAAGTTAAGGAAACTTTGCAAACAATTTGATTATTGTGTCCATTTACCAACCATTCGAGCATTGTTAGAACGTGCCTACAACGCCTACAAACTCTTTTATGGCTCCTTTAGTGTTGTATTTAATTCTGATTTGGTACATTTTAAAAACGTTTTGGATACGTTTTTTGCTCCATATTTACAATTACTTAGAGTTTGCAAGGTTGGTTTGGACTTGAAATTTTTTTGGATTAATTTTTAATTATTTTTAGACTCCTTTGGTTGATTTGTTTAGTGGAGTCGACTTTCTCCCACTGGGAAGCCTCAATTTTCTTGAAGTTCATTGTCTGGTGAGATTTATTTTTTATTATTTTATGAAGATCCGACTTAAACTTTGGCGTTTGCACCGTCCTCGCCTCCCAATTAAATTTTACGGCTTATTGGTGTAGCCACCACCAGTTTCGTTCGTCTCCACTCATCCAAAGAACCAAGGTCTTAAGAATGTACTTCCGATTTCAACTTGAGCAGTTGAACCGTCCTCGCCTCCCAATTAAAGTTTACGGCTTATCGGTGTCGCCGGCTTTAGCCTTATTTGTCTCCACTTTTTCAAAGAATTAAGATCTTAAGAGTGAATTTTGAATGGGGAATATCATACATGGTATTACTGACACAATTCTGATCACCAACCTCTTAACCCTAATTCCTTAAAAAAATCCTAAGACTTCAAAAATCCCCAATAATTAAAAATTATTTATTTTCAGATGACAAATTGTTTGGAAGAATTTCCTCAAATAAAAAAGACTATATTTCTTTATCAAGAAAGGTTTTTAGATTCTATTTTTTTATTAAAAATTTAATAAATTTAGATTAATCCAATATTCTGTTGAAAAACGCGATTTGATCGTTCTTTGGCATTTTTTAACGCAAACAATAGTTCCTTCAGCAATGCAAGCAGAATTAACACCAGAAGGGATTTTAAACGAGAAAAGGTTTTTAAAATTTATTTCTAAGATTTTTAAATTTCAAACTAGGGTTGGGCTCAAATGCTTATTTGGTCCGAAAACCAGTGTTTTTGACAAATTGACTGGAACCGAAAAGCGAAGGTCATAAACCTGTGAATAGTCTAAACGCGGGTAGGGGAGGGGGTAACTGGCTAATTATTGATTATGTCCATGCCTATTCCTCAGAAAAGAAAATTAAAGATGACAAAATATCCCAAAAATTTTGAGATTTATTTTTTAGTACTGCCAATACTTCTACTTCTGATCTAAATAAGAGTGGCTTTTTTGTTGATTCTTCAATTATTAGAGATTATTTGGGCGAATTCTCAGATCACAAATTTCCGAAAATTTTTATTTTGGATGGTGAAAATGATGACAAATGTGTGGAATATTATTTGGTATTTTTTAAATTTTTTTAAATTTATTAATTTTGTAAGGATTGGGGCGTTCATGGGGGAGACTTAAAACTCTTAGGACGGGGGTTTTTAAAATAATTTCCTCGCTGCCCCCCCCCCCCCCCCCCAATCCTGATTACGGGTCTGGGTAAAGCCATCTTTGTCTATATTAGTCTAGTCACTGCAGTGAACATGGTTTTTGGAAACCAGAATGGAAATTTTGGAAACCGGAATTGGAAACCACAATGAACAATGTGTAATTAATTTGTGTTAAACAACTACCCCAACAAAACCCGTTAGTTAAATAAGCCTCTTCCTATTTTTAAACTCCAATCTATCTTTTTTTTAATTTTTAGATAGCCTATCGTGTTTTAAACGCAACTGCTTGCTTTTTTGTTCGAGCTGATGAAACACAAAATGATACAATTAATAATGATTTCCTTGAAAATCTTTCCGATTTTATTGACACAAAAATGTCTTCAATCGCTTCAACAATTGGAGAACAATTTTCAAATGAAATAACTGCTCGGCCTAATACAAATTTGGATATTCCCTATCATTTTATTTACTTCAATCCGGATAGTCTTAGTTTTAGAAAAAGCTTCGCAGCTCCAATGGTTATGTCTGCTGAAAATGCTGTGGTTAATAATGCTGTTCAAATTTTGCCTTCTAGCATGCATAGGTTTTTTTTAAATATTTTTTTGGGTACTGGGAACTAGAATATATATTCCTAGCAGACAAAAATACTCTTCGGAAACGAGTCAAAAATTCCCTTCTAGCAATACATGACAAATGAGTTATTCATTAAGAGCCTATTAACTTCAGAGCCTATGACTAGGATTAATGGATCCAGATATTCGGAAAAAGTCTCCGGAAATTTCGATTCGGATTTAGATATCCGGAGATTTCCAAGGATCCGACAACCATACCTATGTACGTCCATTTAATCAGACATAAATTAATGTTGGTCTACTCGAGGCCTATTTAACTAACTCGTTTTGTTGGGGTATTTGTTTAACAAAAATTAATTACACATTGTTCATTCTGGTTTCCTATTCCGGTCAATTAGTACGACATTTTTCATCACCTTAACATTATCAAAATTAGAAAAGTGGACCTTATTAGATGGTTGTTTACCTTTGGGAAATATTTTTAATTTTTGTTTAAGCTCTCCTTTTTGTCTCTCTCTCCTTTTTTATTACCCTTTCGACAGCTTTTTATAATCAAAAATTTTTTTTTGTTCAAGATTAGTCTACGAATCCTACGACAAATTCATTTGTGAATGTTCAACAACATCCTCTTTAATTTCTCAATTATACATCAAAGCTGATAATGATTGGTGGATAGTTTTTAAACGAATGGAGCGTCGTTTTTTGGCACTCTTTTTACCTCAACAATATTCAGCTACTACAACAATTGCGGATATACAAGAATGTGTGGATGGAATAATTCAATCAAGATTTCCAAATTTGTTTATTTCCTAATGTTTTTGAAGGTCTTTTTTGTTTATTTTGTGTAGCTAGAGATACCAGGGGTGTGCCATTTCGCCTTTTGTCTTTCGCCGAATTTTCGCCCTTTTTTGGTGGGAGAAAATCCACACATTCTTGTATATCTGCAATTGTTGTAGTAGCTGAATATTGTTGAGTAGAATATTAGTAGCAGAATATTGCTTAAATAGGCGCGCTGCCATGTAGGCGCAAAGCCATAATTTGCTTCAATTTTTCCGAATCTTACCAAATTTAGTATTAAACGATTCCTCTCATCGAGCTAAAGAGGTTGGCACCAAAATTGATAAGGGCCTGAAATTTTCCAGCTAGTTATGGCTTTGCGCCTACATGGCCGCGCGCCTACTTGGGCGTGTCCCTTTTTTGGTGTTTTGTCTTTCGCTTTTTAAAATTTGTTTCGGCACACCCCTGTACCTCTAAATTATATCCAAACAATTGAAATATTAGTTCATTTTAAATTTATGTTCAGAAAATAAATTTTTAAAAAAATTTAAGTGAAAAACTCAACTTTTTAAATCTTATTTTTTACAGACATTTTAATAAAATTTAATAATTCACTGTCGTTAGGCAACTTCCAAGGTAATTGGATTTATGCGTTAGTGATGCTCGGGTATCCCGATCCCGACTCCCGACTCGGGAAAATTTCCCGAGTTTTTGGCCTCCCGATCCCGACTCCCGGTGTCAATTCCCGACTAAGTCGGGAAATTTTTACACCCCTAAGAATGACTTTTTCTTATAAAATTATATTTTTATTTTCGCCTGCCGCGCAAAAAATGAAGAAATCTGGCCTCTTTGTCTTCCAAAATTCCCAAAATTTTCGCCTGCGGCGTTGAAAAGGAAAGAAATTTGGCTTCTTAGTCTTCCAAAATTAGAAATGTAAGAATCTGTGGAGATGTAGTATAGAAGATTTCGGCGATCTACTAGGATTATGGTAATTTGAAGAGATAACGAGGGGAGAAATCAATGAGAGATATCAATGGATTTGAGTGATTAATGTTTAATAGGGGGTGTTAATACTGATAGAGGGGATATGAAGAGATATGGGGCTATCCATTAAAGAACGTCAAAAATATTTTTTTATTTCACTCTCTTTTCCTCTATTTACCTCCAATGGACTCAATTTATCATTGCCACAGTAAAAAATTTTGAAAATATAAATTTCTGTTTCGGACACAAGTATCCTAAATTTTCGGTTCGGATTTGGATATCCGAAAAGACTATCCGACTATCCTAAACCTTATCGGAGAGTCTGGGACGATGATGATGATTAATCTCATTATTTTTCGTTTTTCTTCCTCGTGAGAACGATTTAAACTTAGTATTATTTTCACCTCCAAAATTCTCAAAATTAATTGCCTGCAGCGCAAAAAATGGAAGAAATCTGACTTCTTACTCTACAAAATCTCAAAATTTTCGCCTGCGGCGCCAGTAAAGAAGATGTCTGGCTTCCTTACCTTCCAAAATTTTAATTTTCAATATTTTCCCCTGCGGTGCAAAAAAAGCTGAATTTTTGGCGCCGAAGGCGCCAAAAATTTTTTTATGGTAATTCCCGACTCCCGATCCCGACTCCCGAGGTCATTTCCCGACCCGACTCCCGTTTCCCGATTCCCGGGTTTTTTCTTCTCCCGAGCATCACTATTATGCGTGGTCCTTAATTAACAAATATTTGATGAGTAGATCAGAAACTTTTAAATTTAAAAGTTGAACGTTTATTGAAAGACATGATTAAACTAATACGATTAAAGACTAAGAGTAAAGATACGTAGAAATGAAGGATATCGGTGAATATATTGTCAAAAGATAAAGCACCAACAGATTTTATAGGATTATCTTTAAGCCTGCTTTTATATAGTTTCTCTTCGAGCCATTCCAATTTAGTATAAAAGCAGTAGTAAATCCTAGCTTAATTACAAATCAACAACCTCAACTCAAACAACTGCGCACGACAACAGCTTCAACTTCACAAGTCAATGGCACAATCTGCGTACTTCGGTGGCGGTGGTGCAGCTGGTGGAGGCGGCGGTGGTGCATCTGTCTACATGGGAGCTGGAGCCGGCAGTCAGCAACCGGCAGCTGGAGGCGATTATGGAGCTGCTGGTGGAGGCAACGCGTCTGTCTACATGGGTGGTCCTGCTGGTGGAGGCGGAGGAGCCGGTCAACAAAGTGCCTACTTTGGTGGACCTGCTTCGGGAGGAGGTAAATAATTATTAATCCTAACTAATGACAATAATAAATAATTTATTTTTATTTAAGCTTCTGCTGTTGGTAGGTCTGCGGGTGGAGGAAGTGCTTTCGGAGGCGGCGGTGGAACCCAAACGGCTATGGTTGGAGGCGGCGGTGGCACTCAGACTGCAATGGGAGGATTTGGTGGCGGCACTCAGACAGCTCTCGGAGGGATGGGCGGCACCCAGACTGCGCTCGGTGGCATTGGAGGCACTCAAACTGCTCTCGTAGGGATGGGCGGCAGCCAGACAGCTCTCGGCGGGATGGGTGGAACCCAAACGGCGCTTGTTGGCTATGGCGGTGGAGGCACCCAAACTGCTCTTGGAGGCTTTGGTACGCAGACTGCTCTTGGTGGTTCTCCTCCTGCTGGAACGGCAACTGCTCTCGTTGGTGGAGGTGGTGGAACGCAGACTGCAATGGGAGGAGGATATGGAGGGACGGCAACAAGCTTGGGGAACGCTCCTGCGGCAGGTAGAAAATATTCTCTTTGTCATTTTAGCCATTAATCTTAATGTGTTAATTACAGGTACAATGACTGCTCTTGGTGGAGGAGGCGGCGGGACGATGACTGCTGCGGGTGGTGCTTCTCTTGCTGGTTCAAGTGAGTTAAAACTTAAATCCTAAACCATCATTAATTGAGCCTTTATTTTCATTTAAAGATGTTGGCGCTTCTTCGGCATATCTTGGAAGCCCTCAAACCGGTGGTGGCGTTGGTGCGCAATCTGTCTACATGGGTGGTCCTGCTGGTGGAGGCGGAGGAGCCGGTCAACAAAGTACTTCATCTTCACGTGAGTTGAACGGCTACACCCAATCTCAATTTAACTTTTAATTTTAAAGGTGGCCAGTCTTCTGTGTTTTTTGTGGGTCCTGGCACTGGTACAATCTACGAAGTAGGCGCTGAAGATGATACAAATAATGGGGCTTCTGTTGCTGCTTCAAGTAAGAAAATTTAATTGAATATAATCAATTGCATCTTTATTTTTATTTTAAGGTTTTGATGAGACGACTACAGAAACGACGGATACAATTTTGCTGGGCGGTGGTGGTGGTGGTGGCAATGGTGGACGAGAAAGAGAGGAAGATGAAGGCTGGGGTGACGATGAAGGCTGGCGAGAAGATGAAGGCCGCCTAGAAGATGAAGGGCGGCGAGAAGGTGGACGAAGGCGTGATGAATGGTGGAGGGCGGGGGATGAAATGGACAACACCCAGCCTTCCGCCGACACGGTCCATCCATCAATTCTTAATAATCGAGTGTAATGTACACTCGAGGTAGACGGATGGACTTGTCGGTGGAAGGGGGGTGGTGTTCATTTCCTCCCACGCCTTCCCCATTCTAGTTAGGGTTGCCGTTTTCGAGTCGGGCCGACGTTCGAGTCATTTTTTTCGGGCTTCATTTTTATCGAGTCGGGTCAAAAGAGTCTTTTTCGGGCCTCATTTTTATCGAGTCGGATCAAACGAGTCTTTTTTGTGCCAAATATTTTTTTGGCCATTTTGGCAACCCTAATTCTAGTGATTCTCTATTGTCCCCTATTGTGTTGTTGTTGCCCTTGTTGTGATTGTTGTAAATACCAACTTATTCTATTTTCTTCTCCTTTTCCTTTCTTTATTGACCTTTGTAAAATATCTGAATTTCCCCTATATTCTATTTACTCATTGTTGTATGTACATATATATTTTTGTTTGTTTTAAATGTATAAAATGTATAAAATTTGTGTGTTTGTAGAATTTTTTTTTGAACTAAGATTTGATTTTTAAATTAGGAGTTGTTCCAATCTGGGGTTGTGTCTTTAAGTTAGTTGTTTTTTGGTTGGAAGTTGTTTAGCAAAAACCGATTCCCTTTTTAAAAATTAAAAGTTTCGGTCTTGGCATTTTGTCGTTTAATTATCAAAATTTGATTTTTTTTCATTACACAAGCGAAACTTCTATTTTCAACCTTATCTAGCTTTTTAATTTGAACAAATTTTCGGCTCTATTACACAATATACGTCCAATCAACTATTATGCGTCCAATCAACTTTTATACGTCCACTCAAAGTTTATACGTCCAATAAAAATTTATGCGTCCAATCAAATTTTTATACGTCCAATCAAAGTTTATGCGTCCAAATAGATTTTTAAACGTCCAGTAAAATAAATTCAGAAAAATCAAAATAATTTTTATTTATTATAATGCCTTGCTCAAGGGCTAACATTTAAAACAAATTTAAGAAACGATTTAATGTCTGTTACATTAAACATTAAAATTAAAAAATGATTCCCCATATATAGTTGCAGTACCATCACGTACCAGTTTCATATCACTATTCTAAGAAGCATTCGCGTTATGAGATCCATATCTACAAGTGAACAAAATTTTTCAACATATATTTGAGTTGCCGTTTTCGAAAAAGGCCGACGTTCGAGTCATTTTTTCGGGCTTCAATTTATCGAACCAGGCACCAAGTCTTTTTCGAGCCAAAATTCGATGCCCGGTTCGACCTATCGAACCGAACCGGGCCGGCAACCCTAATTGGAATACAATTCCCGGTTTAATTTTTGCTAAAGCATTCGAAATTAATTGATGAAATAAGGATTTTTTTTATTAAAAAGTATTTCTTAAATTATATTTATTTTAAATTATAAGTGCTAAAAATATGTTCGGACGTATAAAATTTGATTGGACGCATAAACTTTTTATTGGACGCATAAATTTTCATTGGACGTATAAACTTTTCATTGGACGTACGAACTTTGATTGGACGTATAAAAGTTGATTGGACGCATAATAGTTGATTGGACGTATATTGTGTAATAGAGCCAAGCTTCAAAACTAAGCTTACCTAAACTCCAAGGATCCCTCTCTACATCTAAAACAAGCCTTTTATAGGCACTTGCAGAGTTCCTCTTAAATAAAGTTTCTTTCACAAAAAATAAAAACCTTTAAACTTTTTTCAAAACTTACTCAATTAAAATATCATAATTAAAAAAGATGTGAGAAAAAGGTAAAGAATGAATGAAAAAAAGGAAGAATTTACCATAAATAAAAATATGCGGGAAAAATATAGTAAGGTTAATATGGATTTTCAAAAACAAAAAAATATTTTAACTTTGGCAACTTGTCAAAAAAAATATAAAATGCCATCTCATAATGGTAATCTCCGCGGTAATTTAGTGGTGACTGATCATTTCGTCAATAATGAGTTCGTCAATGATATGTTCGTCAATGACTAGTTCGTCAATAAAATAGCGCCAAATTTAAATTGTCTCAGTTTGTCAACGCTAAAAACTTTTTAATAATGATAGTCGGATCCGAAAAAAGGCTGGATATCTGGAAATTTTCGGTTCGGATCCTAGAATCAGGAAAAATACTAATAATCTGGTTCTTTGACCTCCCAAACTTCATAAAATTTTCGCCTTCGACAAAAAAATTTTTTAATTACCAGACAAAAATAAAGAAATTTGCCTGGTAGTCCTCGAAATTTCTCAAAATTCTTACCTGCGGCCGCGTGTTTACAACTTTAAGGGGATGTTAATGTATTTGGATGTAATATCGGTGAATCAAGGATAATGGGATTTGAGGAGATACCCCCAGCTTTTAATCCACTAAACTTGAACATAAGAATATACCCGAAGTCTCAATTAAATCCCCATAGCCACTCATTTCTCAAATACAGGGTGCGGCAAAAGTTCCCGTACTTTTCTTAAGCATAAATTTTATTTCAATATTTAATTGCATTTTTATTAATTGCATTTAATCTCGAAATCATGAATCTAGAAAAACAATAGGGGACTAAGTAAGACGACTTTCCCTTACTAAGTAAGTTGACTGCTTGGCTGTCCCTTAAACCACTTGTTTCAAACTAGAATTCGAACTTTTCAAAAGGCCGGGCCCAGGACCCGGTTTTTTTTTCTCAAAATCGCACCCGGACAAGTTTTTCCGGATAAAATCAGAAAAACCGGTTAGCCCGGAAAAACCGGATTTTTTTCATACCCGGGCCCGGACCCGGTTTTTTCTAAATTTATTAAAAACATAAAAAAATTATTACACATACAAAGGATTGGAAAACATATAAAGGATCGATTAAAGGATAGATGAATCAAAGGATAGATGTGCAAAGGATAGATAGCATGGTAGATAGCCTTTTTAGGCTAGATTTGGTGTTCTCATCTTAAACACGCGGTTTGGCCATCAGAGCCAGCCAATATCTGCTCATCAGCCAGCAGCACACGAATTCTTACCCCTGGGGAGTAAGTCAACATTTATCTTGGGTACACCCCAGTTTACCGCCGCCCAGTTTACCGCCGCCCAATTTACCGCGGGCCCAATTTACCGCGATCCCAATTTACCGCCGCCCAATTTACCGCGAGCCCAGTTTACCGCACGCCCATTTTACCGCCATTCTACAAATCAATAATATGTCTAACAAATATTCTGAATTAATTGAAACGAACTGAATTAAAAAACTAATTTGTAACTTTTAGTAATAAAATTCATAATGTACAACGGAATTTTGACGGAAAAGAACAGAGAAAAATTCTCACATGATGGCTATATTTATGTAATGGATAAGCCTAGTGCTGATGGTGAGAAAATTTTTTGGCGCTGTGACACACGTGGAACAACTGGATGTTCTGGACGCATCCACACAACATCTGATGAAGAACGTAGTTTTTTTTAAAATTGGTCACCATGCATAGCTGTTCCGGATTAGGTGATCCAGCTAGAGTTGGTGTTCAAAAGGTTGATTTGAGTTGTATAAATTTTTCCTAAATTCCTTTCTCCAGGCAATGAGTATGATTCGTCAAAGAGGCGCCTCAACGATGGAAAAACCTGCTCAAATTCGTGCAGCAGCGGTTCAAAATTTGCATTTAGCAATTATGGGTATTTTTTAAGTAAATAAAAATGTACAAAATAATTTTTAGGCCAAATGCCTAGTACGAGTGCTAGCCGAAAACAAGTTCAACGTCAAAGAAGGAAAGAAAACAATGCGCTCGCCAGTCCACCTACACGTGCTGAAATTGTGTTTACAGAACGGTACATGAATCGTGAAGTAAGTTTGAGATTTTTTGTAAATTATTTTGTAAAAATCTTAAATAAAATTTCTAGTTCAACGGTCAGCAAGAACGTTTATTTCTCGGCGATAGTGGAGGTGAAGAACGAATTCTTGTTTTTGGGAGTGAGGAAAGTGCTGGTTGGTCAAATCAAATGGAGCATGTTTTTATGGACGGAACTTTTTCTGGTAATTTTATTAATTCTGCCCTAGATTTCTTTTTTTTCAGTCTGTCCTTCTTTATTTTATCAACTTTTTATAATTCTTTCGAAGCGTGGAGGCTTCGTCTTTCCGGTACTTTTTTGCCTGTTGCCTGACAAAACAGAGAAAACCTACACTCGACTTTTCAATTTCATCAAGGAATTGTGGCCATTATTTAATCCAACCTCAATATCATGTGACTTTGAGCGCGCAATCCATAATTCTATCCGAACTTCCTTCCCCGAATCTTCTATTTTTTGTTGTTTCTTCCATCCGCGTCAAAATCTAAGAAAGCATATATCTCAATCTCATCTTTTGAATCTCTATAATAATGACCCTGGCTTCGCTTTAAAATGTAAAATGATTATTGCCTTAGCTTTTGTTCCCGAAAACGATGTTATCAACGCACTTAATGTTTTATAAAATGAGTTAGATGATCGTTTTGAGCCTCTTATTTCCTGGTTTGTATCTACCTATATCGGCCGCATTCGCGGTAATGGTGCTCCTTTTATCTTCCTTTATCTTCTCACAAGCCAGCAGTTCATGTTTTTTTACTCCAAAACATAATAAAATAATTCTTCATCTAAACAACTTGATGTCTTCGTTTACTTGAAAATTCTCTGCTTTACTCCAAAACATAATAAAATAATTCTTCATCTACAACAACTTGATGTCTTCGTCTACTTGAAAATTCTCTGCTTTACTCCAAAACATAATAAAATAATTCTTCATCTACAACAACTTGATGTCTTCGTCTACTTGAAAATTCTCTGCTTTACTCCAAAACATAATAAAATAATTCTTCATCTACAACAACTTGATGTCTTCGTCTACTTGAAAATTCTCTGCTTTACTCCAAAACATAATAAAATAATTCTTCATCTACAACAACTTGATGTCTTCGTCTACTTGAAAATTCTCTGCTTTACTCCAAAACATAATAAAATAATTCTTCATCTACAACAACTTGATGTCTTCGTTTACTTGAAAATTCTCTGCTTTACTCCAAAACATAATAAAATAATT